CTAACGTTACCTACTATATATATATATATATATATATATATATAAAGAGAGAGAGAGAAAGGGTGAGAGATATTAAAATCAAGAAAGTTGTTTCTTCGGAGACCTCTGATGAAATTTGAACAATACAAAGAACATTAACATGACCCCTGTGCAAGGATGATACGCACAAATCGAGAAATTGTTCAAATTTTTATTGTAAAAAAAAAGATAAGCTTTTAGAGAAACAGGGGGAGAGAGATGTTAAAATCAAGAAGCCTTCATAGAGAGAAAAAGAAAAAAAAAAAACTCTTTAAGGGAGGGACAAGCGGCATTCAACTAAAGTAGCACTGCGTGCATAGAGAAGCATTAGGATAAAGAATTTACTGATAGAGTTTCGGGAAACATATCCCTTAATTAAATTCAATCTCCATCATTGTTTATAATAGATATAATTTCATCATTGAAATGATATCATAGGAAATCTAATTAGAAAACATTCTCTCCTATTTTGAGTACCTTATCCGTAATCCTAGTTTTAGGGATTTTATTTTTTTTAAATAATGGAAAAATATTAAACTTAATTTCAACCACCAAGGTGGACTCATTTTTTCACCTACGTGAGGTTAATCTCCACCTCCAATCATTTAAAAGGGTGAATCACTTAGACATGCACCATGTTATCAGACCCAACCTTTCTATGATGTAAAAGTATTTAGAGTCAGCCGAATCATGCATCAGCCCTGGTTTTCAAAGGACTTAGAGACTCGAAAAGACTCCCAAGTTCAATTCCGATTCTAATCTACGACTTTAGAGCTCCAAAAATAACAATGCAGATCTATAGAAACCTAGAAAAGATCAAATGAATAGTAACATAAATACAAAATTGGCCAATTTTTAATACTCAATTTCTTTCATAATTCATAATTGTGGTGATCTAGATGATAGACCAGTAAAATTTTAGATCCAAAATCCATCTGAATTTTGGGAGTGTGGACGCACAATAACATGTGTGAACCCAGACACAAACACACTTAAACCCTATCCTTGCATCATCTAATGTACTCAAGACGCCCAAAAGAGGTTCATGTCACCATCAACCATTGTACAAAAAGAGGACATTGGCTTCTGCCCTTCCAACTTCAACAAGGCACATCAAAAATTTGCAAAAATGGACATTTGAGCATGTCCTTGGAGTAATAATCAAGGGATTCTACAAGGGACAAGAGATATCAGCAAAGCCTTCATTTCCCGTAGTCCCTCTTAACCTACAAATATTTGGACATGCAAAATGAAATATGGGTTGTAGACTTGAAGGCTTATTCTCTGTGTTTGCTGCCCAAAATCCATATTGGAGATGGATTTTGATTCCAAAAATTTCCAGGTCTATCATCTCAACCACCGTGATCATGAATTTGAAGAAAGTTAAGAAAGTATAAAAACATTAAGCCCTCGAAAATGGTTCGTTTTGTACCCATTTTTTGGACTCATCATTTCAATTCTTCAGAGGTCATCAAGTCCATACTACCCTTGAAACTCCAAATTCATAGATCTGAGGAATTTGCAGTGATTTAATGTGTTTCGAGTCCTAAAAGCCTTGAGATCAATGGAGATGGAGGAGTCAGCATACTCAACAACACAATTTCAGCACCTAGATACGCAGAAGGAACTATGCGTCTTGCATATCTAATGAAATGACAATGGAACCAAATAACTCAATTCAAACACCATAAAAAAGAAACTAAGAATTATCAGCATCATTAATGCATGTCGATCTTTGAACTCAAACAATTTCCAGATCCTTGAACGAGAGAGCTTTACGGAACAAGTCATAAAGAGATGCATAGCAAAAATACAGAGAAACATAATCATGGCCTCCTTGGTCTCCAAAAGATTTATCAGAATAATGGAACATTGTAAACTGAACAATAGCCAAGCGTAAATATCAGAGAATGAGAAATATAGTATCAAGAAAGATCTCCATACATTGTTATGAGTTAACAAAGATTCTTTGATCATTCTTAAATTGCTTAGGGAAGACTTTCTCAAACTACTTACGAAATTCATATATTTGACCAAGGAATTTATGGTGCTTTGCTATCAAACACCAGCATAATCAAGACTATGTACCATAATCCCATATGGACATATGAACAACAAAAATAAAACAACTAACCAAAAAAAGCAGTTGAAAACAATAAAGAGAAGGAATGAAAAAAAGAATATTGTCCACAGCCCCAGATCTCACAATGAGACTCGTATCAGGTTTGTGAAAAAGGAATTGTCAGCCATTCCAATAAAGGGAGCAAAGTGTAAGCACTAAGTATCAGTCATTAAGTATATAGAGCCATGAGACCCAAATAAACATCAAACAACCAAGTTCAATAGTCACAACAACAAGGACAACTATAGCAAGGTCGTAGGCAAAAGATGACTCTACAAAATTATATTCATGGAAATTCACATCAAATAGTCAAAAGGATCTCTGAGAAGTTTCATCTTTTGAGCTTGTAAAGTCAATGAAGAAAATAGCCAAATGCATGAAAACACTGCCTGTTTCTATTTTTTTCGTTTTTGCTTTTTCTGTTTTCGGTAAGTGCCTCGAAAATTTTTCTACTCCTCCAAGGATGATTTCAGCTCACCAGAATTGTGCAATTCCATCACAATATCACATCCTCCAATCAATTCTCCTTTATGGTAAAGCTGAGGAAAAGTTGGCCAATTGGAGAAGGTCTTCAGACCCTGTCTCACCTCATCATCTGTCAAGATATCGAAGTAACCAAAGTTCATGCCCTCCTCTCTAAGGGCCCCTACCACCTTTGAGCTAAACCCACATCGAGGTGCATCTGGGGTTCCCTTCATGAACAACATAGTGGGTGATGAACTAGTAAGTGCCCTCAACCTGTCCTCAAGACTCACTTTTGGAACAATCCCTTTCTCGGCCAAAAGTTTCCTTAATTCCCCACTCTTTTGCATTTCCAGCACAATATCTGACCCCCCAATGAGCTCCCCCTTCACATACAACTGTGGATAACTCGACCAATTTGAGTATACCTTGAGCCCTTGTCGAACTTCATCGTCACAGAGTATATCAAAGCTATTGAATTCTATCTTCTCATGCTGAAGAATCTCGACCACTTTTCGACTAAATCCACATTTGGGTTCGTCGGGCTTCCCCTTCATAAACAACATAACAGAGCTCAAATTGATCAGAGCCTCAAGCCGAGAAGTTAGCATTGAGCTTAAGCCAGTTGATTCAGTTACACCCATTGCATTTCCACTCTTGCTAGTTTCAGATGATAATGATTTATCATTTGATTCAGTAACCGAGGGTACATTTGTAGTGTTTGCCACTTGTGTTTTATCAGAGAGAGGAAGAACCCCATGGTCCCTAAAAACAGCCTTTAATTCACCACTTTCATGCATAGCCACCACTATATCACACCCTCCAAGAAGCTCACCCTTACAAAATAGCTGAGGGAAGGTAGACCAATTGGAGAACTTCTTCATTCCCTCTCTAACTTCATTATCTGTTAATATATCAAAGCTAACAAATTTGACGCCCTCTTCCTTCAATATGCCCACCACTTTTTGGCTAAACCCGCACTTGGGTTGCTCAGGGATCCCCTTCATGAAGAGAAAGACTGGGTGTGAGTCCACAAGTTGTTGAAGCCGCTTCTTCAAAGGCTCAGGTAATTCATTTGGGTCTTTTAGGTGTGAAGTTCCATTTTCTTTGGCAAAGTCTTTAACAGCTTCGAGCACTGTGGGGCCTGCTGCCATGCCAAGGCTAGCAGCAGTGGCTGAATCAGTTAATCCAATGGGGCCCACAAGTTTTGCGACTTTGTTTGCCAAAGCTGAGGGGTTTGCACCTTCTAGTTTATCGACAACTTTTCCATCCTGAAGAGAAAAATGTAAACAATGAAGGGATTATATAAAATTATCTAATTTGCAAACCGTATGCTAAATGTAGTCTCCGTAATCCACTATATGACGGACGGGAAAAGAACTATTCCTCCATTTGAGCAGACATTGGCAAAGGAACAGGTTCATTTCGGCTCACTAGAATGGACAGTAGAGACCTAAATGTAGCAGTTTTCCAATAAAGAAATAAACCAATGAAATGATCAATTGGCAAGCAAAGATGATCAGGAGAGCTTGAGGAAGTAACAGTAAGAAATTGCAATACTAAGAAATAGAATCCCTGTTCGATTGCCTGTATGTGAGTCTTCCTCTTTTCTTCAAATGAATCTATTCTTTTAGGAAATTGCCTGTGCACAAGTTGACTTTGACTGGACAGTTTAGACTTGGAGCAAATTACGTATGGATACTGTTGGGAGGGGTCAATTACCAAATGGGGAGTCATTTCTCTGAAATTACGAACAACCCCTCCCCCCCCCTTTCCCCCTCCCGCAGGTTTTTTTTTCCCTAAGTTGCCCTCCTGTCTGGCAATGCAAATACCAAACAGGAGGAGAGCTAATTTCTTTTCAAAGTAAAAGAGTTGTCCAGTGTTCGAAGTACCGGACAGCTCTTTGAATCCCCAAAACCAACTTTAGATTGCTAGGGTTTTAAGAGAGAGTAGAACGCTGCGTTTTCTTTGCCTTGAGAGCTAAGAGCAAGAGCCGCTCAACCCAAGCCCTAGCTTGGGGAAAATTGACAGAGGATCAAAGAACTAACATGGGTGGTCCAGAAAAGGTTCAACTTTTCTGAGCAAGAGCCGCTTAATCCTAGCTTGGGCAAAGGTAATTTTAGGGGAAATAAGAGAGTGTGTTAACAGAAAGCTATTTTTAGGGAGTAAATATTACGACGGATGAATCCAAAGGTAAATGCTAACCAGAAAGTTGTTCAGACATCCAAATTGTTTGGATCCACAAAGTATTATGGCCATATTGTGTGACCCACAAATCTAATTCCCCATTATTTAGAACTAAAGAAAAAGAAGGCTATCAAAATCATTCACAAAATCTTGCGGGTAAACCATGTAACTCCATCCATCCATTCCAACGACATTGAGATTTCCAGCAGCTGGTCTTAGCGGCTCTTGCTACTAAGTCTCGATGCAAAGAAAACACAGCAACGTTATCTCTCTCTCCCTAGCAATATAAAGTTGGTTTTGGGGGATTCAGAGTGTTGTCCGGTACTTTGAACACCGGACAGCTCTTTTACTTTGAAAAAAAATTAGCCCTTCTCATGTCCGGTATTTGCATTGCCGGACAGGAGGGCAACGTTAGAGACAAAAAAAAATCCCGTGGGAGAGGGTGGTGTTCATAATTTCCGGGAAATGACACCCCATTTGGTAATTGACCCCTCCCAATGTCCGTACGTTTGCTCTTAGATTTGAGCCCAATTGAATGGGAGGTTCAGATCACAAATATCAATTTAAAGGTTAATCTCAACTTTTCATTCACAAAGGATTATAGAGCAATAAACTATAACAGCACCTATTACTAAAAGCACTCAAGTGGAACAGAGAGCGACAATAATCAGATTAGCCACCAGGACAAGAAATGAGGCGCCCTCATAGAAAAGTTCCAAAAAATAAAATTTCAACAGATATTTTCTTATTTTAGGTGGAATTCAAAATAAAAAAGTGAATGGTTGTCATTTGTCAAAGACCAAGACAGGAAGATGAAAATATTCGATTCCCAATTAAAAGCAGCCCAAAATATTCCCTGCTGGTGATTCATGGCGACTGTACCTTTATCAAAGTATCAAAGTTTAAAACCTGAAATCGAAAATTACATGTTGAGGGAGTGTCCATGAATCAGCATTAAGTTCTCAAAACTATTAGGGTTGCCATCTTTATCCAAACGTCGAAATTTAAAACTTAAAATTGATGAGTACATGTTCAGGGAGGGCCCAACTTCTAATAAAGAAGAAATAGTGGAGAAAGTGTGTGCAATGAGAGAGAAGGGCAACTATTCGAAAGCACAAACCTTCAAAAAGAAAAAAGCGAAAGCACAAAGCATCACTGATGAGCTAGAATAAAATAGAATGACTTTATGAAACAATGTCCATATAGTCTTTTAAATAAGACTGAATCACAATTCCTGAATTTGTGAGACCGTTGAGAATTCGACAACCTAGAGACCTTCATACTCCACAACCTAGAGACCTTCATACGCAATATCATTCTAATTACTTAATTCACATCGCAGAGATTGACCAATTGTTTTAGAAACTTTCTTTTTTGTGAACACCTTTAAGGCAGAAGAAATTACTGGGTCATCAATGATGAAACCCCATGCAAAAATATTCGAAATTCAAAAAGAAGAAAGAAATATATCAAACACAAATATAAGAGAGGAGAGTATCAGAAACGGAATATGATTACCAGGTTTCTCAAATTAAAAAAAAAGTTGACTTCAATTTCACAGAAATCCCCAAACACAAATATGCGAGAGAGATAGAGAGAGAGAATAGTTCACACCATATAAAAAGAAGGTGAAATCACAAAAAATGGAAAGAGAAAGAGAGTTAATAATCAAAGTTAGACAGAGAGACACCAATCAAAGTTAGAGAGGAATAGAGGATTATACAAAGTAACAGGTGTGAGAAACTTCACCGACCTTGCAGAACACAAAATAGGGCACGGATGAAACAGCGTAAGCCTCCGAAATCTCTGGTTTTTCTTCCGCTTCAACCTGCAAAGTTTACAGTAAACAAAACAAAACAAAATAAAATAAAAGCCACAAAAAGCAAGAGAAAATGGCCAAACACAAATAAAATCACATATTTTCCATCAAAATAAACAATAAATGAAGACCCAACAACAAAATGAAGGTAAAAATAGAGTGGAAGAAGAAGAAACCCTAAAGAATCGAGCTTGAGGCGTATCAGTAGAGAGGTGGGCAAAAACTTGGTCCATTTGCTTTGAGGCCTCACACCACGAAGCCCAAAAATGAAGGATAAGGGGAAATCCCTTGCTCAAAGCTTCCTTAAGCTCGGCCATCGACTGCAAATCCTTCACCGAACCAGCCATCTCTCGCTCTCTCTCTCCAACTCTCTAACTCTCTCTCTCTCTCTTTTCCCTCTAGGTGGAAATTATACTCTGGTTTTTATGGAGTAGGAAATGACCAAAACATCCTATTGATTCCTTAAAATGACAATTGCCTCCCTCACTCTATGCTCATTACATATGGACAAGGATCCGTTTGTTTGTCCTAGTACCGATGTTAAAACCTTGATTTATGGGCAATCACGAATATAGGTATTCATCAATTAATTGGATTTATGGGAAATCACGACTATTGGTATTCTTGAATAGTTGTAATAAATAGGTACACTATCTTTATGGCGATGATAAAAAAAAATGAATATAACGATACCATTTACTTTTGACATAAGAGGTCACATTTATCATTAACCGTTAAATTTGATATTCGGTGGTTGAAGATACGTTATTATTTAAACACAATGTCTAAAACAAAATTTTTCAAATGTTGTGACACACTTTCATTTATTGGATTTCAAATCCAATGACTAACAACGATTGGAACCTCTTTATACCAAAATTGAATAGTTTTATAATATACAATCTCTACTAAATAATATTAAGGTGTTCATGGTTCATGTGTCCAAGTATCCAGGGACATGCTTGTGAGAATGAGTCCACTCTCTCAAAATTTATCCAGCAAAACAAATTTGGATCCACAATTTTGCAAGTCTGTTATCTAAATAGTTGTTCTTGTGATTATGGGGAAATTGAACTTTAAAGGGTTTATTTTATAATAAAAAAAAAATTCTTAATGGCACCGATTCTTAATAAAAAAAAAAATTCTTAATTCTTGAAATAATTTCTCCATAACTTCTATTTTTGACACCGATTTTTTCAAGAGACTCAAAGTTCTAAAATATTTTTAATGGCATAAAGTGTCTCACAAAACTCTCTCTCTCTCTGTAAAATGCCCAAAGCAGCTGCAAAAACCTACTTTCAAAAGATGCCCCTCTCTCTCTCTCAACATAGATACATTGAAAAGGGAGTATTCCAACGAAGATTGAAGAATATTTTCTTTTACTTAATCTACAAAAAAACAATGGAAAATGATGAGAGCGCAAAATGTTTCAGATCAAACAAGGTTACAGGTGGAGGGAGTTAATGAAGACAACCTAGATCAGAAACATCAGCGTAGATACAAAACTGAGAGCCCTGGTCTGACCCCACATAAATATTTTTCAAAAATACAAAAACAATTCAAACCCATATGCGAATTTGATATGAAGCCCATCTTTTACAAGCTCATGAATCCTTGACTGAATCTACAATATTCTCTTGGTCGACACGTTTCACTCTCTGAAAGCAAATCCATTTTCATTCCCTGCTCACATACAGTAATTCATATCAGTATTCGCAAAATCAAACCAAAACAGTTAATCAGATATGGGTACAGTTAATCAGATATGGGTATAGAAACGGTTTAACACACTTATTCAACCATTTTCACCGGATAAATCCCAAGCGGTCAAAAAAAAGTTGAAAGAAATAAAAAAATATAAAAAATAACTATTAAAATATGAAAAACATATAAAGAATGATTAAAACAAAACACATTCTAATGAAGTTGAAAATTAGCGAAAAAAATGAATTTTAAAGAATCGACTTGTGCTTAGAAGTATTTTAAAATTTTTTTGAAAGATATGGGAAAATATAAAAAGTGAGTATTAATGACCAAAGCAATTTTTAATCTTTACTACAATATAAATATTATTAAAAAATACATTACAAACCAAATTCTTTATTTTTTAGAATTTATATACATTTTTTATTTTTTATTTTGAAATACTGGCCTATCACCAAAACCATAACCTGCAAGTGGCTGGTTCCAATCTAACCGAGCGCTTATCAATTAGATTGCCCGGTTTTTCCAACAATGACTCCGATAAATAACATGATAGGTATTTGAGATTTGAGAGAGAGAGACGATGTTTTGGGAGAGAGACGGAGAGGTTAACTAACAATAAAATGGTTTGTTAAAAGGTTGTTATTTCACCATTTGTTTGGATCAATAATACATTATCAAAGGGGCTTAAGGGATTGGTGGATAAAAAAGATAGAGATCTTATGCCGCTATAAATATTTCGAATCCTTAGGTCCCTTGATAAATATGTACCAAAAATTGGGAAATAAGGATAAATTTTCCCTTAATTCTTCAAAGATTATTAAGTCCGCAAACTTTTTGAGCTCTAAATTCATGAATATGAGGCAAAATTGAACGTGTTGGGAATGTCTTAAATCCCTAAAAAGCTAGAGCATAAGCATGAATAAGCCAACTCATTGAATACTTTTTCCCGTCATTAAAAACTAAAAAAACCTTTTAAAGCTAATGTCAAGACTCATGATTAGTGGTGAAATTTTTATAGCAAGTAGGTTTCCATTTTTCAGCTTATAACTTAAATAATGGGATTTTTTTTTTTGGATAAGCAAAACTAATGGGATTGTATAGAATGAAATTATTTATCTTTATTACAAGAAAGTGACAATTACTTGCAGTCATATGATGTAAAATTTGATAGCTTGGGTGTGTCACAAAGTTGGAGATATTTTTTTTTTGAACTATAAACTTAGTCAATAGAACAAATACAATAACCCAATTTCACATCTAATGGTCACGATTAAACATGACGACCTTATAGCAAAAATAAATAGTTTCATTGTATATTTTTCCGTAAATAACAGATGCAAAGCGGGAAAATCGCCACTTGTAAATCCAACTAAATAAGAATAATTCCTACTTCTGAAAAAGCAGACATCCAAACAGAAGCATTTTGTTTGTGTTGTGTGTAAAAGCTCAGACCAAAACTATCTCAGGTAAAATATAGTATGCTACCGCGAGAGTATAAAATCTTTTGGCTTTTTCTATAGCCCATTTACTAACCAATTCGGGTCCCTCTCTCTACTACAGCTAAAGTCTCTATCCTCATCAGTGGCACGGGAAAGTAAAAAGAGGAATCTTTTGTGTTTGGCAAATGAAAAGGATGGGATATAACACAAATTATTATGAAAAGGTCACGGTTTCTATGCAGCCAGCCCGCATACTGTAGAAATGCTGGCTTGACAATAAATATATATTTTAAAAATGGTTTGATCATAATTTTTAGAAAACATATAAAATTTAACATGGAGATCATGAATATGAAAAAAAATAATTAAAAACTAAAAATAACAATTATATTAAAAAAACATTTAGATTGTTGGTTGCACTTATTTTTAGATAGACCACATATTTGCATCCATATGTAAGATGAATGCTTTATACCTCTTGACGGCATATTGTAGAAATATTGTCCAGCCCACATGAAACAATTTTCTTTATGAAAATATGCCTTTAGATGATGATGAGTATATAAAGCATGAATTTTATATTAAAAAGGCAGATCGGCTCATAAATCTAATTTTTTGTGATGAAAACACCGCCAAATAAAATTAATACCAATAAAAAAGATGCAATGAATGTATTTGCAGCTTTATACATTTTTATGCATTTTCACCTCAGATTCACTACAAAATGCAGTTTTGGCACCTCTATTGATTCTATATAGGTCCAAGGAAAAACTAGATTTAAGCTGAAAAAGTGGTCCATCTTGCAATATCTTTTTTTTATGATTATTTTTAATTCATTGCAATATTTTTTTTTTATGATTATTTTTAATTCATTACGTGCGTGATAATCTCCTCCAATACATTTTTGTTTACACCCTGATACTATTTTCTTTTGCATCAACCCTCATGGGTGAAACTTTTAGAACATTTTTTAGTAATTAAAATACTCATTTTAGTCAAACACAAATAAATTTTAGTTTAAGCTAGTGCTACCTTGGGAAAATTTCTTGGAGTTGAGGTAAGTACGGTTCTACAAAGGTCGAACCGGCCATAAACTTAAAACTATTTTGTGTTTGTCTAAGATAAGTATTTTCGTCAAAAATGATAAAAAAATACATAGCGGTAAAAAGAAACAGCAACAGTGTTTATGATGTGAAAAAAAAATTATAGAGGGGTCTATGTATAGGACGTTTAGAGGGGATTCATATAAATTTTCTTATTATTTTAGCTTTTAATTTTATAATTAGGGAAAAAAATAAGATTTTCAACAATCCCCAAATTTTAAAAGCTCGATCAAGTTTCTCTGGGTTTTGAAGTGCATAACCTTACCAAATTCCATAGAGTCGGGAGCGGGGCTGGGTCACCACATCCTAGTCACCATATTGTGATTTTCATTTTTTACCGGCACCATCTCACTAACACCTTCAAAAAAAATTAACCCCCTAACAATTTGAAAAGATAAATAGGGGCTGTCTTCCCCACTGAATTAACTAAAAAAAATAAATTCATAAATTCGTGGCACCAAAAGTCATCGAGAAAATACAACCAGAGGCCCAGATGGAAAATGTACATTGGATCAAATACCTTCAATATGGACCCTTAGCATCTAACTTTAGGTACGTGGACTCAAGTTGCAGAAAAAGAGAAAGATTCATTTTTTGTTCTTCTAAAAAGTAAGGAAAGAGGTTCTCAACCTTATTGGTAAATTTTTTTAAAAAGGAGAGAGAGCTTCAAACTAGACTTAACCTTCCATTCAACCCATTAAGATCTAAATGTTTTAGGAGTTGGTGGCTAACTCGATCACCTCGCATTTCGAACGGAAATGTCAATTCTGATTCTTGAGTCGGATCGATGATTTTAAGCAAAATAACTAAAAAAAACAGCAAATTAAAAATACAAATGTTAAAAACCCAGTGTTTGAATCACCCTGATTTAAATCAATATATATGCCTTGATAGAAGTCATGGTTCTATAACAGAGTTCAAATGTGATTTAAATTGATGATTTTAAATCCATTGTTTTTATTCTCTTTGCCTTTAATTATCAGGCCAAAATATTCCCTTTGCCTTTAATTATCAGGCTAAAATATTCTCTTTGCCTTTAATTATCAGGCCAAAATAAATTTAATTATGTTATGAGGCAAAACATTATTTACATCAAGGCAGAAAAAAAATTAAAAGTCAATTTTTTAAAAATGGTCTGAAAATATGCAAAAAAC